GGAGAGAAAACATTCCATTTTTTATTTATTTATCATGAAGTGAACTACTTCAGGAACAATCACGAGATTGTAGTCAAATGGAGATCCAATAAAAACTATTCAGGGTTCATATTCAGGAAATATTAATAATTTATTTTTCTTTTAAGCAGATTTTGAAAACAGATCTTTAGAGAGTGTGCAAGTAATCAAATTACCAATGAAGAAGGGCATGAACAATGCACAAATGAAGCAGCATAAAAATGTATTATTTCTTTGCTCCAGATCACTTCACTCTATTTTGATTTTCTGGCTTATGAAACAGAAGAGTGAACAAATAATTATGTTTCCAAATACATTCATTAGAATATTTTTTGGCTGGTAACATGGCTAGTCATTTGTGAAAAAAAGGCAAAATCAATGAATTGCTGAATTATTTTATATCTGAGACTTGCAATTTTTGTAGCTACAGTACATACTGAAATAAGGTTGTATTACAGTTAGATAGGAGTTACAGTTCTAAGTGTGACATAGAAGTGTGAATAGTCCTACACTATATTATACTGAATTAAGTATAAAACCAAATAATTACCCCTTTAAATTTAGAAGGTACTGTGTCTAGTTTACCTTACCTTAGTTACCTCAAAGTTACCAAGGGTTAATGTATTACATATACACTGGAACAGAAGCCATTAAACTGTTTTAGAATTATTCATTCTCATTATGAAGGGCAAAAGATACATGCTGAATATATTTATTAAGAGAATGCTATATAAAAAATAAGATTTTATCATTTAAGAAGATAGAACTCTGTATGTGGGTTTTAAAAGTTGCTTCATCTAAAAAACAAGGCATTTATTTTTTAGCACATTTAGATTCAGTCACTACTGTTGATCTGGTTTGTTGTACACTTCCAATGCCTATTTCCATTATTTGTAGGTTTACAAAGTACATTAAAAATAAGAATAAAAGTTATATTTTATGGTAAAGTAGCCAAAATCAAATCTGTGTTTTTGACAATAGTGTTTTGTCAGACAGAAAACAGTAAGTGCAAAACTTTTCATCCAGTCTAAACTGTTAAAGCCAATGTTTGTGCTGTTGTGCTGTCCTAGTCTGTAGTTTTTTTGTTTTTCCTTGATGGTGATGTGGAGTGCCTCAGATGTAGAAGAGTTAGCATCCTGCAAATTAATGGTTTGTGAAGGCCTGCTTGTGCAGTGTGATTCACAAACAGCTTAGCCTTTCTAATAATACAAAAATGATAGCATCTAATTTAATTAATACCAAACTGCTTGAGAAACGATATTTTCTCTTTGAATTGTGCAAGGGTGATTAACGTAAATATGATGTTATAAAAGTTGTAATATGTCTACAGACAACGTTAAAGAACATGCCCCCTTTTTCAGTTACGAGTACAAAATCAAAAGGTGTGGTAAGAAATGTGTACTTGTGAGCTTGTATGTGAAAGGTGAGATTCCAATATTTTTAGAATATTGCTGGAAGGGAAGTTATAACATGAAGTCAGCAAGGCATTCTGGGTTCATCCATATACTGTACTGTACCATCAACTTATACCAGATACACCATCAACTTAAAGGAAACAACTAGTACTGGCCTAGTCCTAGTCCTAGTCAACCATGTCCCAACTGGGAGCACTACACATACAGTACTGTAGAGTGCTTCTACTGTACAACAACTGATAACTGTGAGTGCAGACATAAAGTAGACAGGTATGATGGAAGACCTATAAGCCCAGCTACATCATAAGATGACTTACAGCTTCAAATATCCCACATTGGTCTTTTTACAATGGTAAAATCATGATCATAAATTACAAGGGTAAAATCTTGATCCAGAATTATTCATATCTGACAAATGAATAATGAGATGAAAAAAGTTTGTGTGCTGTTTTTTAAAAAAAAATAGTTTTAGTCAAACAAAAGTTTATTTTCCCAGGGAATATTTTCCATCTATTGAATTAAAGCCTTGTCAAAAGCTGTTAGAATTCCTTTAATAGTGAAACAAAAATATTTAGTGTGGTTTCATTTGATCTTAAACAATCTATTGTAATTGTTTCCAGATCTTAACCAAAATTGCAACATGTAGGCATTACTTCTTGCTTCTTGCAATATACTGTTCAGTACTTGCAGAACTACAAGTGCCTCTAACATACCCCAAAAGGTTATGAAAAATAATTTGAGAGTTATTTTCTGAAGGTGCAAGGTAAATGTACTGTATTTATCCCCTCTTTTCAACTGTTACCTTTAAGGGCAGGCTTTTCATTCAGTCATGCTCATATGATTCCTTTTAGCATATTGATCCAAGAACCCCATCATACCGTGTCTTAAGATTTGTCACGTCTTCTACTTATGATCATAGTATTCCTATTATAGTATCATTATTTGGTCTGTTCAACATTACGAAAAAAAGAAGAGTCTCCTATTTACAGTCAAAGCTTACCTGTATTTAATTTCTGTGTGGTGGTGAGAACATGGAGCTCAGAATTCTTTGATTAATACATTTTTAATAAAATAAGGATCTGTCAACATTTTAATAAAAGACAGTAACAGAATGTGGAAATTTTAATCTTATTCATTCCTATGCTTGAAAAGCATTCTTTATATGGTCCAAAGGCAACATGAACAAGACAATGCAAGTGAAATGGAAGCAATGCAACAGTATGTGTGAGTTGGCATGTAATGCATATGTACTTCTTGATACAGATGCCCACAGTGCTTGGTTCTTATGTCATCAATCACATTGGTCTTTCCACATACAGTAGGTCCCTTGTAATAGATTTCTAGTCATTTCCAGTAGTTAGGAATTACCCATTACTGTTTCTGATTATTTTTATCAATGGTAATAAAACTAGTTTAGAATTTTAACTTCAATCTTATGAATTATCCTGATGCCCCACTTACAGTATACTTTTCTCATTTTTCTCATCTCCATTTTTCACACTTAGAATAATGATTCCAGGAACAAGTAAAAGTGTTTCTGAATTTCACATCTCAAGAACCACAAGGTCATCTGTAGTTTCCAATTATGTAATTGAACTACATTTTTACTTTATATGACCAAATCAGTTTCTAAGGTCTAAAGCAGTGAATTCAAGGATGGTTATAAAGCCAAGTGGATCATGACCCTCAATGAGGCATTGTTACAGGCTGGTAATGAAAAAACAGAGCAGGTGGGGAAATTGCAGGCAACCATGCTCTTTATTCTTTTAAAAAGCAGAAAAAGTTCAAAAAGAAAACTTTCCGTCTCAGATTTCTATCTTCCACCATCAACCCCACATCTTGCAGTGACTCTGACCGCTGGCTAATTTGTCTGGTTTCTCTTTCTCATTTTCCTGCTGTCAGCCAATCGGCTGCTTCTTCCAGTGGCTCTGGTCTTTGGTTCAATCCTCCAGTCTCTCCTTTTCTCACTAGTGCTTTTTTTACAGAGCCTTGGAGTTGAGCATCTATCATCCTTTTTCCGGCTATGTCACACCCCTCTTTCTGATAGAGAGCATTGGTTTAGACAGAGAGCCAGCACAGCAGTAATTATCACCAGCTGTGTCATCTTCAGATGCAGTAGTCCTCTACCCATTTAGACTCGGACCAAGGCATCTGGGATCTGAGACAGGAAGTCACCATTTAGATGCTCTTTCTCTGACTTGTGCTGCAAGCAGAACTGGAATGCCTGCAGGGAGGAACGTCATCGAATCCATGGTTGCAATCTTTGACCCAAAGTAATCACATCTGCAGTGCGTGATCTGTTACCAGGGTAAATGAACAATACCGTAGATAGTAAAAAGTGCTTCCTTTACCCATTTAATCAATAAAGATTCTCTTCTCATTGTCAACAAAGCGCTTCCTTTACCCATTTAATCAATAAAGATTCTCTTCTCATTGTCACTGTATCACTGCTCTATGGGTAATAGAGCTTCCTGCCAGGGTAGGCAACTGGATGTTTCAGTCCCCCAACCTCCTGGGTCCGGTCCTGTAACTAAGACATTGGTCTGAAAAATAAAAGATTGTGTGAAGTCTGGCCAACACAAAAATGTACTGTATCAAAGTACCCTTAAAGACCTGGATTAGAGAGTGTTGTCTCTGTTCAAATTTTTTTTTTCCATTTATTATTTTTGTCAATCAAAAGGGAATCTATTTAGTTAAAGCCAAAAGCTAAAGTCTCACTACACTTGAGCAGCACAAAAAGAAACATATTTGAAAACAGTAAGTATAATCAGCTTTCAGCACAGTTGGGCGAAAGGTATAACTGGAAACTACCAAAGGCAAATGAGGTTAGCTCTCAGTTTGGCAGGTCATGTTTCATCATATTCTTCTTCTGGTGACTCCACCTCAAAGTTCTTAACTAAGCTCTAAGTTTCTTGATAACACAATAGCCCTTTTGTTCACCACTGCATTATATTTGCATATGATTGCTAATAAAACCAAACTGCGCATCTCACAATATTTTCATCCCTACTTCAAATTAATTTCCACAAAGAATTTCAAATGATTTTATTGCCACAATTCTAAAGTTAGAAATAACTTACAATTTGTGGTAAAAATGTTTTATTATTATTTTATTATTCAAGTTTAGATGTAACAGACATCTTTGCTGACTGATTTGTTTTGCATGAAGAACATAAAACAATAAAAATGTTTAAGTGCCAGCAGAAAATAAGATAAATTATGATAACCTAAATCATTATCTATACGCTGTAAAGGCAGAAACGTTAAAAACCAAACACATTCTAGACTCATGGTTAAACATTTACATATTTTGCCTTGTGACAGATTCATTTCCTCACTGGTTTACAGCTTTAGATATTCTTCATATGTTTTTATACTTGTGTATTTTAAGCCTCAAGGTAAATCTTTTAAAATATTAATCAACACTTTTGCTAATTATGTTGCAGTACCTGTATGTAGCATGCTAATTATACTTTTATTCTTTCTTCCTCTGCAGTAAAAAATGAATAATAATTGAAGTGCAAGCATAAAAAGTTTAAATTAAAAGAAAATGAGATTTTCAACAAAAAAACCTTCCTATGGGTTTTTATTATTTCCTTAAATGCTCCTATGAAAGGGGAAAAAACTCTTTTTTTTTCATAAGAGGAGGCAATTGCAATAAAGCAGCGCTATGAGGTCTTACTGAGCTTTTGGTACTAGTTTATAAATTATAACTAAGGTGACTCTGAAATTCCAGAGTTATTCATTAAAATGCAGGGTAACATACTTTCATACATACATGGTAATGATGGACATAACTACACCACCCCACATATGGTGTCTACAATTACAGAGAAAAATATAACCATTCACCCAGGGCCTTATTTTGATAAATGGAAAATCATACAATCACTGAAAAGTTTTCATTTTAAAACCAATTCAATTAGGCAAACAAGCAAAAGTATATGCACAATAATGTATTATTAGTGCCAAATTACATTTTCTCTGCATATTAGCAGTGTTATTCTTCTCTCTAGCTGATATATGTCTTCTCTTTCTTCCACTTCTGAAACTATTTCAGCTGAGCAACAACTGTTAAAAATAACTGCTTAAAATAATGAAAAAGAGCATCCAAGTTCATCGCAAAAATCTTAAGAATTGTGTTTCAATTATGATTTCTATTGTAGTTAAAATGCATTATTGTATGCTTTTTGCTAATGAGTATGTTTTCACAATCTTTAAGATGGTAAATGATTCAGAGGTAAAATGGTGAATTTAAGATATGTTTACTTACAAAACTACATTAAGAATTTCTCTTTATACATTCCTTGTGTTATGGAGATATACTTTCATATGGGATTACTTGCACTTCCGTTTTCTTTAACATTCACTGATTGAATGGTGCCAGCCAATAAAGAAGCCTGGTTTAAAATCACACCATCAGAAACACAAATTGATTTTCACATGCCAGTGCTTCACCATAATTTATCAAAACAGGACCCTGGATGCTTTTGACTGCTTGATTAATTCATCAAATGTCTGCTGTCTACCGTAGAATTTTAAATAGCGCTGAATCTACTAGCCAGCATCTCTTCTTAACTCCTAAGCTAGATTGAATGGTTCATCCATTCAGATGTTATACTGTAACTGTCCGTAGTGCGGAGAACTCACCCGACTTTGTTTACTTCGAAATCTGTTATATTCATAATTTAATGTTTTTGTCTTTTACAACTAATAACATCCACCTAGAATTGACCATTTCCAATGGAAGCAAGAAAGTGTTAAAACTATTTGATAAGGGACTTAAAATGTACTTTAAGATGTGGACACTGACACCGAATCAGATTTAGCACTTACGAAGCTAAATGTAAAGATCCTTTTGCAGTGAGATGCAAAACTGGTGTGCACTGGATAAAAACAGGAAGATATAGTAGGTGTCTTAAAGCTCAAACAGTACTTTTAAATTCACTCTCAAACATTTCTTTGAAAACATAAAATAAGAACAACAATTTCAAATAAAATGAGTATAGATATATACTATTACAAGCATAATATGTATTAAGAGCTTAAGAAAAAGAGAACATTGCTTGGAATGAATAGTGCTATCACTTTTGTGTGTGTTTAGGCATAAAAATATATGCATTTCCTTCTTTAAAAAAAACAAAACACAGGCATCAATTTTCTACTAGCATTTCTCATCATTTCAAAAAGAGAAAGAAAATATAAAAAAATGCTGAATTAGGAGAAGTTTGCTTCATTACTTTGTTTGCTACATTTGCAAATGTAAACAGTCACCCAGAGCCAAACAGCTGACTCTTATTCAAATGTGTGTATTCATTGTTGCATACCAACATACACTGTAGAAAATATTTTTATACAATATATCAGGCACCGATATTATGATTTTTACATTAATAATTAGAAAAATATTTTTCTACCTCCTCTCCCAATTTCTTTAGTGATACAAGGTTTGTATCCCAGAAAGGCAGCAGCTTGCAATGCCTAAAGTGAGTTGTGTAACAGGTGTCATTTCCACAAGGTAAGGTAAAGAAAAACAAAGGACAAACATAAAATCCATACATACAAAAAAGATGCTCAATCTTAACCATCACCAGAAAGACAAATGATATATGAAATGTTCTCACTCAGTTGAATGAATTCCCTGAGGGCTTTGTTTTTTACATGAATAGAATTATTATCAGATGACACAGCATTATTGAAACAAAATAATGCATCTGTAATTTCTTTTTAAAAGAGCACATGGCTTGCTTACTGCACATGATGAAGAATAAAGACAAATCAATAAATGTTTAAACTTTGTATGTTTAAGCACATTATAAGAATAATTGATTTCTAAAGTAGTCAATCCACTGAAATAATATGCAGATGTACTGTACCTTCTTTGCTGGACTGCCTTGTCTGAGATACCATACCATAATAAAACAATGGATGGTCATGTACCTACACTTTCCTAAAATATGTTCATGAAAAAAAAATCACAATAGGTAAATAGTAAATAACTTTAGCTTTACATCAAACACCTTTAAATGTTAAAATGTCATTAGTTCCCTATGCAGACTGCTAGGACAGTACAAGCTTCTGCTTTTGCTGTTAGCAAACCTCATTCTTTCATATTGTGCTAAGAAGTGCTAAGTATTAGTTATTCTTTCGGTTTTCCATTCTTTTCCACCTGTGCAACATTCTTGTGCAGGCCTCTCTGAATGTGTGTTGTGAAGTCATATTTGTCAGCACACAAATGATGGCATATGCTGCACTGAAAAGGCCCGCTATCACCATGGCAACTCATATGCAAGGCGTACATAACTTCATCAAGAAAGACAATGCCACAGTGAACACACTTCGTTGACAGTTCATCCTGAGTGCCCCTGTCAATCTTTTCGGTTCTTTCAGCATTCACTGGCTCCTTGTCCTTTGAACTTTTTGGCACATTGCTCTTCTCCTTGGCACCTCCATTTGTTGTCAGGCCTGGCTTGGAATGCTTAATTGCCAGATCTAAAGGAATGTCATTGTCTGACCCAACAGATGAAAAGTGTGGAGGCAGGTTAAAGGCAGGATAAGGCACAAAGCTTTGGCAAGGATTTGGTAAGCCAGGCATATGGCTCAAGTAGTGTGGATTCCCCGGAACAGACATCTTGTACTTAGTCCAGAACCGCAGCCAATCAGCTTCACTTTGCAAGTCATTGTGGATGAAGGGAAGTCCAAACAATGGGTATTGGTACTTTTCAATTGGACTACCTGGTGGAGAATAATTAGCTTGTTTGGAGGGTCTCATATATTTCTCTATGGGGCTCCCCCTTTCTGAGCTTCCTTTTCCCTCTGCCGCAGCTGAGCCATTTCCAGGATCTCCACCACTTTCCTGAGAGCTTTTTAAGTGTATGTGCAAAGGCGTCATTCTTTTGTGGATCTCCAGCGTCTGATTAACTGGTAAGGCCTGTGGAGCTGGGTGGTTTTTGGCTCCAGAACTGTAGGCGTCATACTTGTTTAGGTTACTCTGTTGCATTTCTCGCTGGTGGGTGTCTGACAGAGGTTCCTCTGGTCTCCTCTCCAGAGGGCTTCCATTGACCTGTTCCTCACTGTTAACACGTTGCTGCTTGACGAGTTGCTCTGGGGGAAGGGACTCAGGATTAAGGCGCTTTCTGGTACGTCTGCGGATGATCTGCTCACCGTTGTTTTGCTTGATGATGTTGAGAGGCCGGGGTGTCTAAAGGAATAAAGGAAATTGAGAAAGGTCACCTCAGAATTTCCCAGCAGCATTTTTTTTTAACCATAACAAGAGAAATAGAAAGTTTTGTTTGCAAGACTGTGATTACAGCTTCAGTAATTTGCTTTTTTTATGAACAAGAGACATCATTCAACCACAATTACACTGAAGAAACATAACAAGAAATTCATTATCATTAGTCTTGTCTCTTTTTTCTCCTTCTGATTTCAAGTGCAACAGTTTACAGTTCATACTGCACAGCTAAATTAAAAATTCACAGAGCCTAGAAAGATAAATAGCTGTGTTCCTTTTGCATTTAGCTTAAAGAACTCTGATTGGTACAACTTAAAGTGCTCAAGAATTTAATTAAAATTCAAACAAAATAAAAGTACATACGCAATCATAGTTATGGATGACACTTGATATTAAAAATGTATTATAATCCATGACCATAAACTATGTGCAAACCCCTTTTGAAAAAGCAAATGTCACCATACTGGGCAACTCATATCTTCATGTTCATGCTGTTACAATTAATTTGTCTCTATGTACCAACAACAGACACAAATATCAACAGAGGCTCTTACCCCAGCCAACTGGCATATTGGGTTTTTATTCAAATAATTTGGTTGTTTTTTTTTCCATTTATTGTTATTCAGGTTTTTCCAAATTCCTTGCTTTTTCTGTTCGTTCAGAAAGACATGTGTTCCACTTTCAACCTTAAACTCATTAACAAATGAATTAACCATGTTTGTTTTTAAATAAACAGTTTCTAAGAATGTCTCTCTCAATAATGACGTAATTAAACCATACAACAAAAACTTTATGAGGGAAAGAAGCAAAAATGCATTTGATTCCTTGAAGGACAAATAGAAATTCGTAATAATAATCCTTACATTTATATAGCGCTTTTCTGGACACTTCACTCAAAGCACTTTACAGGTAATGGGGATCCCCTCCACCACCACCAGTGTGCAGCATCCATCTGGATGATGTGACGACAACCATAGTGTGTCAGTACACTCACCACACACCAGCTATCAGTAGAGAGGAGAACAGAGTGATGGAGCTAATTTAAAGATGGGGATTATTAGGAGGCTAGGACTGGTAAAGACCAGGAGGAAATTTGGCCAGGGTATTACCCCTAATCTTTTCAAGAAACACTCTGGGAGTTTTTGATTACCACAGAGAGTCAGACTTCAGTTTTAGTTATGTCTCATCCAAAGGACGGTGCCTTTTTACAGTATAGTGTCCCCGTCACTATACTGGGACACTAGGACTCACACAGACTGCAGGGTGAGCGCCCCCTGGTGGCCCTACTAACACCTCTTCCAGCAGCAACCTTAGTTTTTGCCAGGAGGTCTCCTCTTTCCAGGCTCACACATGCTAGTTGTGAGTTGCAGGGTGATATGGCACAAATAAATCCAGGAAAAATCATTTAATGTTTAGGGTTAGCTGGAATAATCACATCTCAGTTGGGGAGATTCTTCAGGGGAGTACTTAACTCTTTGTTGAATTTCTGAATATACAGATAAAGTTCTATTTAGATACTAACAGAAACACTGATGTTTCCCATTACTCTGTGGGGGACCTCAAAAGCTTACCTCCGGGGCTAAAGTATCTCTTATACTGTCCATTCTAATAAACAGATCTCAATGACCGTATCTTTCAGTTGGATTGTCAATATTGAAATATAACTCCTCTTATACAAACAGAGTTCTTGCCAGAACTATTAAAATCACAGCATAGAACATAGAAGAGTTTTGGCTCATCAGCTTCCAAAAACAGCTGCATCTTAAATAATATACAGTACAACTTTGTGCACATTTGAATTCTATAACTGTGAATAAACTCAAGATTGATGATGAATTCAATCATTTTTATTTAAATTTACTCCTCTGAACCCCTTAGGGATTCTGTACTAGTAGATTGTTTTTAAAACATAGATAAGCCATTCATCATTTTACCATCAAACGCAAGAATTCTGCTTAAGGAACTCACCAAAGTACATCTACAGTATACACTTCTCCAAAGCTCGTGGAACTGATGACCACAGAATAGTATAAAATTTTCTACTTACAACATCTCCTATTAAATTCTGAATTTTACAAATCATTAAACACCATGTCTCTCCCAACAACTTTTTTTAAAATCAAACTATAACTATCTACAGGATAAAGATTCTCTTGACACCCTCTCTTACCATCTCATTTCTCTTTCAACCATGGGTGCAAAATGTTAGCTTCCCAAAATTAATCTGTATTTATCCATATTTCCAGAACCTAACCATCTTAATCAAGGAGGAATATTCTTTTTTTAACCTTTGTAGCCATTTTGACACAACAAATTCCTTCTCCCCATCCTTCCCTTTCTGGAAGGAGAATATTCCATGATGTGAAAAAGACTTGTGACTCACTGTAATGAAATTACTAGCTGTAATTAATTACATTATCTTTTCTCTGGTATCAGGCTGTTTGGTTCTGTCCTAATTTTAATACCATGAAAATACTTATTCATCCCTTCTAACCTTGGTTCAAACAAATTATCAATCAGTATCATGACGCAAGACAGGAGCTGTTCCCAGCCCCCTCTTTTGTTTTCCATGGCAATGGACCTTTAGCAACATCTCTGCCTAAAGATAAAATCATGTGTGGTATAGTTAGGGGGAGAGGTACATCAGGTCACTCTTCATGTAGATGGCCTATTCCTCTCTATTACAGACCCAACTGGTTCTCTTACAAGATATGTCAATTCTGAATATTGGTAAGAGCACAGGATATTAATTTAATTTTCATAGGAATTAACTATTTCAAATTATTTCCATTTAAAATAGTGATTGTCAGATACATGCACTTTGAAATCTCACTCACTCATATTCCTTACAATCTTATCATAGCCAATTTCATTTATTTACTGGAACATACAAGAGGAGTTTGACCATTGGTGTTCTCTTCCTCTGTCTCCCATTGGGCTCCTTTCCTGACTTGCAGTGAACTACACACAATAATACACTACATTGTTTGTTCACCATTGACATGAATGTAATTCCAAATTTACAAAACTCAATAAATACATTTGTAGAAATTAATAAAGTTATTCCACTGCCTGCCACTATATGCAGATCCCTGTGAAAATAGCAAATGCTTCAAAACTGGATGCTCTTGTAACAATGGAAGGTATACTTTGCAATTATATGACTTCTTATCAATTTCTTTCATCTTTCTTTTTGGAGAGAGTGTATCAGAAATAGTTCATAATTTGTCATTAGTAGCTAGTAATGAATTTTTGCTAGAAATAACGTTTTGTAGGCAAACTGCCTAGTACAATAGCAAAAGAGGTATTACCGGCATTACTAGAAAATTACTGGTATTTATCATGTACATATTGTAGGTTCTATTTACAGTCCTTGTTTCTTCTGTCACTTGAATCACTGAAGGTCTGATGGCCAGGTCTGTAACCCCATTTTTTTCCCATTAATTAAGAATTATCATGAAATTCCTAACAATAATGTCAGCAATTCATTTATAAGAGTATATAAGGAAAATCACTGGCAAAGTATTTACTGATTATTACTGTTGGCATGCACTACAATCACTAGCAATAACTGCCAAGCACAAAACCAAAATAAGTGGGTTTAAGAATTTTGATTTTGTCAAGGCTTGCAATACGATTTTGTTTCCTCCCCAAATAACCACTGGTTGCTATGCAACTTAACAAAGGAAAACAGATCTTGGACTAGTCAATCACTGCCTAACTACAACTAAACTGACCCAAACAGTGGGTACTGCATAAAGAAAGCCCTCTGGCTAAATTAACTGTTGGTTGTTAAATGATTTACATCACCTACTGTATCACCTGGAGAATAGACACACCCCTCGCTCTGATAAATTATGGACTTTCCGCTCTGTCAAACAATGTCTTGGAGCTTAAGTGACAAGCTAAAACATGAGAATTGAATTTAGCAGGAATTTCACATCTGGAAATGTGGGGGTCTTGACATCATTCTGATGTTATCAAATCTGTACGCACTGAAAGAAATAATCGGGACTCTGTCAGAGTATAGGCTTCTTTGATGAAAGACAGAGACTGCAGATTGACTGACACAATGGACACTTGCACAGAGATGAGAGAAAAAATACAGAATATCTTTGGCAAGCCACCTAAAAAACTAATATAAATCCATATGAATATTGATTTATAATGAAAGAGACCACTTAGTCATACTCCCCTTTTAGAACTCTATTTAGAAGTAGCAATACATATTGCCATTGATAATTGATTCCGGAGAAATGCCAACACTTTATTTTCTTTCTTTCTATGATTCTTAAACAAATACATCTGAGCTTGTGAGGCATCCTGGAGAAAGAGTGGACACAGGTTACACGGAAACTGGTAAATCCTTTATTTAACTTTCCAAGTGATGTGGCTTTGCAGCAGATCAAGGGAACTCCATCTAAAACCAGAGCAGTGGTTCTTCAAGATCTACTTTGAACCACAAAATTCCTTAATAGAGATTTCAGGATTCAAAACTGTTATAGACTTTGGTAACAAGGCTTTTCCTCAGCTTAGGAAATTTGATAAGATTTGATTTGATTTGATCAGATTTTTGACCAAAAAGATTAGTGATTCCCGAAATTTGGAAAAATAAGGAAAACAATTTTTGAGAGGAGGCATTCAGCCCTTATTGCTCTGCAGAGAGATCAGTGCTGTGCTTCTATGCATACAAGTTCAGCGACATCTTATCAGAGCTGCACCTTTTCAAAAGTGAGAGGATCGGTTCACAACTGGCACAGAAGACAGAGCAGTACATTTGTTAATAAGCAATAGCAAAATATTACCAAATACTATGATTATTAATTATAGCATAGAAGAGGTATAATTACTTCAGGTACTAGAAGTACTCAAGATTAATAAACCCCCAGGGCTCAATGATATCTGACTAGTCCTACTCAAGAAAACAGATTTTTGTTTATGCAACCAACAGTCGCTCAAGACTTCAA